CATTATTTACCATGGATTAAATTCAAAGAATGAGGAACATAACCCTAAGGCAATATGGATTATAACATATGTGTGTGTCTATACATGTGTATGTATTCCTGATTAAATGGGACATCAATTAATAGTATAACCTACAGGAGGTAGTGGCATCTCTGCCCTGGGCACCTTGGTATAGTTGAAAAGGTATTCTAAGGACTTAAAAGCCCTGGTCCAAGTCTCATTACTTTCATTTTTTAGCTATACGACCTTGGGCAAGTTACTTTAGCTCTCTGATCCTCAATTTCTTCATCTGTAAAATAGCGATAGTATCTACTTCATAGGATTTTTGTAAGAGTTAAATGGAATAATACATGTGAATATGCTTTGTAAACTATAAATTACTATAAATGGATAAAGAAGTTTTATCTAAGTATACATTCATCAGGAATGATTTGAGAGATGTCATGTGAGGGATTATATAAGCTAACAGGGGCACCATCTCTTCCAGTGAGGACCCCACATCAGATGTCCTCCCTGGGCTAGCTCATCCTCAGGCTCCATGAGATTGTCTTTCTTACTTGTTGCAGGAATTTGGTGACAAACAGACCATTTCCAGCCACAGCAACAGAATGAGGTAAGACATAATTTCCACAAGATTGTCCCATTTTATGTATTACTATAATATATGTAACTAGTGCCCAACTGAGTGATATTTAGGTTATTTCTAGAGCGAAGATGAACAGTGGGGTTGGAAGTATTTCCTATAACGTTAGTCTCTCCTATTGGGAGAAGTTTAGGTAGAAATTCTGGCCTCCCTCTAGGCTGAGGCAGAAATATTAAGAGAGAGGGAGAAATTCACCTTACTCCTAGAAATATCTTCTGCAAATAATGATAATTCTGCCCTTTATTTTTCATTCCAGTGGCATACTGGGGGCAGTTGGTACCAGTTTTCAAGAGGCAATTGTTAAATTTTCAGGAATTTTGAGAACTGGTTTTTAAACACAGCTGTTATAAACAAATTATATAAACTTACTGCTAAATAAATTATATTACAAAAGAAAGGTAATAAATACTCAAAATTCATCACTTCCTAAGTTTTTTCACTACATTTTAATATTATCTATACTCTTGAGGTTATTTACATCTCTGATAGCTATATGGTTGGAAAACCCAAGTAGAAGTGACCTAATGTGCATCCCTTTCTAACTCCATATTGAGTGGTGTCACACTTCTAGCTTGAAATAGGTCATGGTGGAAGTATTTACACCATGGAAATTGGCAAATGCTACAAATCAGAGCCCTTCCCAGAGCCATCTCTTAAAACACTTACCAACACACCACTCCTTTAATTCATTTGTCAATACTTTGGCTAGTATTTGTAGGACATCCCAAAGCCTGAAGCTGGGGACATTTTAAAACGCTTTAAGTGACTCTAATGTGAAGCCTAGGTTCAGAACTACTGCATTTCATTCATTTACTCAGAATACCAGTTTAATTTGGTTTCTATCTTTTCTTTAATGAATTTTAATGATTTATATTTACCTATAAAGTTATCTTTTCCTCCAGACTTCCAAACTGATGGTCATAGGGTTTTGCAAAGTACCGTTGCACAATTATTTTCATTTTCTTTGTGGCTGTGATTATTTCAACTTTTTAATTTCTAAAATTTGTATATTTGTGCTTTCTTCCCCCATCTAATTTTTTTTTTTTTGCTGTTATTAGGTAAATACTAGTTTGTCTATTTTATTGGCTTTTTCAAAGCACCAATTCTTGAATTTATTTATTGACTCTACTCTTTTCCTGTTTTTGTATTCAATTATTTCTCCTTTGATCTTTACATATTGTCCCTATCTGGTCTTCCTTAGATTAATTTTGTTTATCTGCTTCTAACCTCTTGAGCTTTTCATTTTGTTTCCTTTCATTTCATTTATCTTTCTTCCTTTTTGTTAAGTAATAGAAGTATTTCAGGCTATTAACTTTTCCTTTACCAAATAGCTGTGTATAGTATTTATTAATATATGCTACTTTTTATTAGTAGTATTTTTTAATAGTCTTCAATTGCTGTTTTGATTTCCTGTTTAATTTAAGAGTTTTGTTTTTCAGTTTTTAAGTAGGTGGGATTATTTTCATAATCCTGTCTAGGTGTATTGTCACAGAATCACTTCTGCGTTAGTTGGACAATCCTTCTAAAACATCCGCTTGATCTTAACTGAACACGTGTATCACTAGGCACTTAAAAAACGAAAAGCAACTGATAACGTTGAGTTTAATAAACAGAAAAAGAAGTGGCGCCGGCTGCCTTTCCATCCCGGGCAGATTGACTTCCTAGATTGAACCTTCCTCTTGGGAAGGACGTGCTTGAGACTCAATGCACCAGAATCCCAGGTGTGTGATCAGGAGTAAGGCCTCTTTCATTGCTTCCCTTACATGCTCCTGACTATCAGAAGCAAGTCCACTCTAAAGTCATTACATTATGCAAGAGTCAGCAAACATTTTCAATAAGGGCCAGATAGTGAATATTTTAGGCTTTGCGTGTTGGGTTACTAATATTGCATGGAACATATTTATAATAAAAGATTAGTCATTATTTGTCTGAAAATGTCATGTAACTGGGCCTGTTATATTTTTATTTGCTAAATCTGACAACCCTGTTTGCATACTATATGGTCTCTGTGGCAACCATGCAGCTCTGCCATTGTAGTGGGAAAAGAATTAGAGACAATACATAAGCAAATGGGTGTGGCTATGTTCCAATAGAACTTTCATTATAAAAATAGTCAGTGGACTATATTTGGCTTGAGGGCCATAGTTTGTCCACCCCTACATTAAACCAGAAGTTTTAAATGTCCAATGTGCATCAGAATCACATGGAGGGAGTGTCAAAACAGTGATTGCTGGGCCCCATCCTCCGAGTTTATGATTCAGGAGATCTGGGGGAAACTCAATAATCTGTGTTTCTATCAAGTTCCCAGGTGATGTTGCTGCTGCCTCTGGTTTGTGGACCACACTTTGAGTATTGCTGCATTAGCAGAAATGCCTACTGCCTTATTATTCCTAAAACCCACTCAGAGGAACCTAGGCTTATTTATTATTATTCGTTCAAAGACTTCATCAATCTTATGAGACAAAAAATTTTAAGTGTTGAAATTTGAATATTCTCATGGCCAGAACTTCCTGACCAGCAGGACTTCCTTAACATATATATGGTACCTTTAAGCTTATTACGAAAAGTCACTCCCTCTCAGAGAAGGATTAGAAAAAAGGCACCACTTCCTCTGAACTCATACAACCCCTACCAGGGTACATAGGTTGGTAAGTCGAGCAGAGGCTGCATTTCAGCACTCACTGTTCCCTTCAGGAAACTTTGTGTAGTGCACAAACTGCACAACACTCCTGACAGCCCTGCTGATCAGAAGAATGTTATCTATGATTTATTTATCAAAACAGCACATTCTAAATTTAAAATATTCAGTAAGAGTTTACTTCTTTCCTTGATGTTAAAAAAGAAAGCAAATGATATTCTGTTTTTTTTTCCACTTGGATTTGACAGAGTTTTTCAGCTTTATTGAAGTATAATTCATAAAATTAGAAGATATTTAAAGTGTACAATGTGATGAGAAATAATATTCTAAAGGAAAATGCTATATACAAGCCAACACCTGTGCTCTTTTTCTCACACCTCAAGGAGAGAAAAGAAACAGAATTTTAAGAAATCTCATCTATACAGAAATTTAAGAATTTTAACGCCTCATTGTAGTGTGGTGAATATGTTATGAACTGTGTTGGCTCTTTGGAATTCATTTAAGGTTTCTTTATACTCTAATATATGAACAGTATTTGCAAATGTTCCATGACCCTTCAAAGGGTCCATTCCCTCTATGGAGGCAATAGAGTTTGAAATATAAAGCTTATAAATGTATATTTTTTGTTAATATTATCCATATGTTATAAGGATTCTCTATTTTCTAACTTATCCCCCGATCTAATGACTTGGTATATTTATAATCTCCAGGATGTCAGGGAGGAAGTCCTCACACATGATTTTATATCCCAGGTACTTAGCTCAATAAACGGAGCACAGTGGGCACTCAGCTATTAAATGAATAAATTATTTTTCGCTGTAAATTGGGGTGGAGTGCAATTGTTCCCAGTTCCCCATTCAAATAAAAAGATGAATTTTTAGCCTTTTTGCTTTCTCCCTATTGGACTTTTAGCAGATCCCCCAACCTGGAATCAGCAACTGCTGCATTTCTTCCTGAAGATACACTTCTCGCCAACAGTTAAGTTCTTATGGCAGGTTCTACTCAAGCCTTGGGTTGGTCTTAAAAGCTTTTAAATATAAACAGAAAAACAATCACTGAAAAGAAAAACTAAAATATTGAAGCGGTTTCTCTCTGAGTGATTCTTTTTATTTATTTATTTTTGCTTTTGTTTTTTTGTTTTCCAGATGTTCCCCAATGAGCAGGCATTACTTTGATAGTTAAGACAACAAATAAAGTTTATAATTAGAAGTATTAATAATTTTTTCTCTGGTATTTCCATTCTCTGGTTTGAGTTCTACTCATTAAGATTCTACAGAAAAAGTAAATTCTAAATGGAAAAGCCATTAACATTTAAAGAGCCCTCTCAGATTTTCTCTGAGTCTTCCCTTCAACATTTCCTGCAAGGTTTGTCACATGGTTCCTAGATCCTTCACCATCTTGTTTGTCTCTGAACATAGTCCCATTGGTGGATAATCGTTTAAAATAGAGGTCCCAGAACTGGGTACAATATTTCAAGTATAGCTTGATCCACACAAAGTACAATAGGATCTCCCTTGGTTCATTATATGGTTCCACTATTGCAGCCTACAATAGCACCGGCATTTTTTGGTGCCAACGACACTGCTGACCCACATAGAGTTTACTGAAATTCCTGTTTTTTGATTCCTTTGTCCTCTCTGTTTTTATACACATGGGCAGCACCTATGCACAACTATCTCATCTGTGCTTTTCCTGTCCTCCCTCCTCAGCAGGCCCCAGATGGTGGACCTAAGGAACGGGAGCACAGTGACAGAGTTTATCATTGTGGGCTTTGAGCAGAGCTCCCATTCCACTCAGGCATTGCTCTTTGCTGTCTTCCTAGCCCTCTACAGCCTTGCCATGGCCATGAATGGCCTCATCATCTTCATCACCTGGACAGACCCCAGGCTCAACAGCCCCATGTACTTCTTCCTTGGCCTCCTTTCCTTCCTGGATGTCTGCTTCATCACCACCACCATCCCACAGATGCTGATCCACCTGGTGGTCCAGAACCACGCTCTCTCCTTTGCCTCCTGCTTGACCCAGATGTATCTGGTTTTTGGCGTGGGTGTGGCCGAGTGTATCCTCTTGGCTTTTATGGCCTATGACCGTTATGTTGCTATCTGCCACCCTCTTAGCTATGCCCAGATCATGAGCTGGCATGTCCGTATGGGACTGGTGAGTACTGCCTGGTTCTTTGGGCTGATCAATGGCATCCTGCTTGATTACATGACATTTCGTGGTCCATTCTGTAGAGACAACCACATAGAAAACTTCTTCTGTGAGGCCCCCATCGTGATCACTCTCTCTTGTGGAGACCCCCAGTTTAGTCTGAGAGTGATCTTTGCTGATGCTATTGTGGTGCTGCTCAGTCCCATGGTGCTCATTGTCATCTCCTATGCCCGCATCCTGGCCTCCATCCTTGGCAGAACCTCCTCCTCAGGTCGGGGAAAGACCTTCTCTACTTGCGCCTCCCATCTGACTGTGGTCGTCTTTTTCTACACCTCAGCCATGTTCTCGTACATGAACCCCCGCAGCACGCATGGCCCTGACAAAGACAAGCCTTTCTCCCTCCTCTACACCGTCATCACCCCCATGTGCAACCCCATCATCTACAGTTTTCGAAACAAGGAAATGAAGGGGGCCATGGTGAGGGCCCTTGGGAGGACCAGCCTTGCTCAGGCAGAGTCCATCTAGCTGGAAGGCTCCCGGAGGGGAAGCTCCCTCCCCCTGGATTATCTCTCCCTTAGCACTGACAAGTGGGAAACTCACTGAGCTGAAAAACTTCAGGAAAGAACATTCATGTCTTTCTTTCTACCAGCAGCAGACCTGGACGTTCTTGTTGAGACTGAGAGCCACAAGGAAAACAAAGAGATATGCAGAGGTAGGGAAAAAGCAATTGATTGAAGAAATATGCTGTGAGGTATGTGATACAATCCCTAAATGGTGGCCCCAAAATTCTTCAAGAAAGCTCTCAGAAGAAAATAAGAACTGATCAATGGAATTTCGTTACTTCTCAAATGCAGCAAGAGGAGGAGCTGTATGCCAAATATGTGTGGATTATTAATGAGGAGAAGGAAGGGCAGAAGCAAGAACAGGGAGACTGAGAAGAGCACCCATTTGCCCAGGTTGTAAACTAGGGGTAAGAGTTATAGAGCAAAATCTCCTAGAGTCAAGGAAGCTTTGAGTGACAACTGCATTGTACAAGAAAATAAAAAGAGCAGTTTAACTTGTTTGCACATTTATTTGCCTCCACTTAAAAATGTTGTGACTAGGCTGGAGGCATGTTGTGCAATTTAAATGTATGCTTTATTGTTTTCATGAAGATTCCTTCCTACCTCTCATTTTACTTACTACTACGTTTCCTGAGACTCTCTACTCACATCTCTATCTTCCTTCCCTCCTACCCCTATTCTGTTACCTAAAGTCTAGAGCAGGGGTTCTCAGTGGGGATAATTTTCTCCCCTGAGGGTATTTGGCAATGTCTGAAGACATTTTGGGGTTGCCAAAACTAGAGGAGGGAGCATGCTACTGGTATCCTACAGTAGGTAGAGGCCAGGGATGCTGCTGAATATCCTACAATACATAGGATAGTCACCATAATAAAGAATTATGTGGCCTGAAATGTCAATAGGGCTGAAGTTGAGTAACCCTGGTCTGGAGATGAGGTATTAAAAGGGCAGAATTAGGAAAATAATGAGAAGTATTGATATGGGAAGAGAAGAGATAGGAAGAAATCTAGAAGAATTTAGGATACAGACTTCTATTCACAAAGCCATTTTCTGGTCAACTGTGGGGAGATTTCTGCTGACACTGCCACGGCAACGATCTATATAAGTAGTTGTGACAAAACCTTCTCTAAAATCTTTTGTCTAAAATCTAAAATGTTTGTCTCTATCTGAGCCTACCTCTACCTCTCTGGTTTTCTCAAGTTACAGGACTTTTCCTACCCAATTACGCCCTTCTGTCTGCCACTAGCATAGACTACTACTTAAATTAGGCCTTTTCCTGTTACTTCAAAGCAAACTTCATCCACCTAGCGGTGATCCTTCCCTTGTTCCCACCAATCTCACATTCCTGCCTAGCTCAGGCCCACCCCTCATCATTTCCCACCCACTTTCATTTGCAGTGGGACTCCTACAAATGCCATTTTAGTGCAACCTGTGGAAACCATGTGCCTTCATGGAAATAGTCCCGAGAATTTCAACATTTTTTTCTCATTCACTTTACCAATATCCTTCTTTTACCAATGCTTATATTTCCTCGCCCATATGCTCCAACCACCCTGAAGGGCCTGTTCTACCTTTCATATGTGCTGGATATTTTCTTTTGCCCCGCTAGAAGTAAATATACACCTTCTCCCCCTGATCTGTGTCGTGGTAGACAGACCTTGGTTGACTGCCTCAATGGACTTCATTGCCTTCTAGGTTCTAGTTGGGTTCAACCAATATGAGTTACTTAGTAGGATAGATTAAGGCAGAAGGAGAGTGAGTGAGGATGTTGATTCTCCTGGCTCCTTCCCTGATGTCCCAGAGCCTCTGTCAGGTGGCCTTTTCCTACATCTCCCTTCCCTGCCCCTGTAAGGTAGTACCTGCTCCCTGCTCTTGAGAGCCCAGGATGCCTCACCAACCCTCTTTGATTCCCCTCAATCCTGTCCACTTGGGAAGCCCCCTAGTTGGTCATATTTAAGTGTGCCGATTATTTCCTCCCAGCATGCTGCCCGATTCAGTAACAGGTACCCAGCACATATCACCAAAAACAAATGGAAAATATCTCAAAATAGACCATATACTAGTCCATAAAGCAAATCTCAAAATATTTCAAGGAATTAAAATCATACAGACCATGTTCTCGGACCATAATGCAGTTAAGTTAGAAATCAGCATCAAAAAGATAACTGGTAGGGCTGGCCCCATGGTGTAGTGGTTAAGTTTGGAGCACTCCACTTCAGCAGCCCAGCTTCATGGGTTTGGATCCAGGGCATGAACCTACACCACTTGTCAGCCATGCTGTGGTGGCATCCCACACATAAAGCGGAGGAAGATTACCACAGATGTTAGCTCAATGCTAATCTTCCTCAAGCAAAAAAAGAGGAAGATTAGCAACAGACGTTAGCTCATGGCTAATCTTCCCCAGAAAAAAAATAAAGATAACTGGAAAGAAACCCATATGTTTGCAATTTAAGAAACATAATTCTAATTAACCTACAGACCAAAGAATGAATTATAAGTCTAGTCCAACATGGAAAGAGTAAAGGGCTTAGAAGGTGTCGCTCTCACCCTTTAAAAATGAAAAAGAGGTGAGGAAACTGAAAATGAACAACACTTTCAGATCCATCAGAGAACTGAGGTCACAGGAACTACCATCCCAAAAACTGGGAGACAGATGAACACAGAGAACCATAGCTTCCTGGGAGCAGAAGCTGCACCTGGAGCCTGATCAGAACATTTAAAGGGAAATTGACTAATTCCCGGGAGCTGAGCTTGGGCTAGCTGGAGTGATAAAAACTCCCAGAGGCCCACCTTTAAGGAGGCCTCATAGTTTCGTCAGTTTTGCTTCCAGCATCCCAAACCAGATTCTCAGGGTGAAGATCAGAAAAAAAGTCCTTGTGTACTTCAGTAGGGGGCAAGGAAAAGTAACCATTCTAAAATAAACCCAGAGAGCTCTGTTCTCCTTACCAGCCTGCCCTCAAGGAAAACTGTTTTATGAGAACCCAACCAACATGCAGAAGGATCCAAGAAAAAAAACAGCTGAGAAGCACTCATGAAGGTCACAGCCCAGGGATACAGGCTCACTAGAAGAATGGGACCTGATCATAGGACTGTGCATGTTCCCACTGCCCCCATACCTTACCACCACATCAACAGGGCTGCAGGGTTTCAAGGGTTATAGCTGAAAGAACGACAAGCCTCAGATTCTATTTAAGAAGGAGTCTCTAGGGAAAGAAAAAGACAACAGCAGAGGCAAAAACAAAAGGACATTTTGGCCTCTGACAACACAGCTACAACAAACGTTAAACACAGCCTAACATCTAACCAGAACAACATAAAACCTCCCACTAAAGGCCTATTTACCTCACTGACTTTCACCTCATATCTCATGTTTAGCTTCCAACAAAAGAATTGATTATAATAAAAATTAGAAAATTTTACAAACACAAAAATAATAACGAAACTACATACAATTTTATGGGATGTAGCTAGAGCAGTATTTTCTTTTATTAGGAAAAAAAGAAAAGTTAAAAAGTAAATTAAATTACCAACTTAATCACAGAATAATGGATTATGCTAGGAAAGTAGAAGGAAGAAAAATGCATGTAATAGATTGATTCAACCAAAGCCGAAGATTGATTAAATTAATAGAGTGAGAAGAAATTAATAATTGTATAGGCCTGGGGCATGACTGATCAAAAATAAATACACTTAAACAAGAAAGAAAGGGGCACATAACTACATGCGTTGCAGACTGAATTACAAGAGGGCCTTTTGTTTCTAATATTGATGTGCCAGATAATTTGGACCAACTATCTCACTAAGAACAACCAAAAGCTGGACAAATATTTTAAAACATCTACTTGAAGGCATTAAAGCACTAAAAAAGGCAGTAAAAACCTTCAGAGTCACGATCCAGGAACATTCAATCTGCATTTAAGCAGATTAGACACAGCTGATAACAGAATTAGTAATGTGAGAGCTGTGTCATAAAGATGAAAGAAAGAATGGATAGAGCAAAAACAACATTTGAAGAGCAAACAGCCAAGAATTTTCCAAAACTAAAAAAGACGTCGGTCCACAGATTTAAAATGTCCTAAACACCCCCCAAAATATGTTATTTATAAAAAGAAAAACACACCTGAGCACATCATTAAAATTTCTGAAAATGAAAGACAAAGAGAAAAACTTAACAGCCACCTGAATAAACAGACAGATTCCCTTCAAAGGAACCACAATTAGATTGACAACTATCTTCTCAACAATGAAAGTCAAAATATAGAATTTATCTTATATAAAACTCCATTGTCGCAGACTAGAGACAGGTTGGAAGTCAAAGACAATGCTCCAGCTGGCCTGGAAGAAAGCAAACGTCTGCGCTGTGAACTGCTGTTGTGGGCCATGTGGCAAGGAACTGTGGGCAGCCTCTAGGAGCTGAGAGCAATACTTGACTGACAGCTAATCTGGAATCTCAGGGGTACAACTGCAGAGAAATGGATTTTTCCAACAACTAGTGAGCTGGAAAGAGGACCCTGAGCCTCAAATGAGAATCACAGCCTGGCTGACAGTTAGATTTCAGCCTGGTGAAACCCTGGGCAGAAGAGCCAGCTAACCATACCCGACTCGTGACCCAAGGAAATTGTAAGATAATAAATTTGCTTTATGTTAAGCCACTGAATTTGTGGTGATTTGTTACACAGCAACCAGAAAACTAATACAAGTTTTTAAAACTCTAAGAGAATACTATGGAAAAATTTATGACATTGAATCTGCTAATTTAAATGACTTGCAAATTACTAGAAAATATTATTTTCCAAAACAGACAGAAGAAGAAATAGAAAACATGAACACACCTATAAGCATGAAATTAAATCAGCAATTAAAAAACATTTCTATAAATAAAGAACTAGACATACAATTTGAAAATAAATACTACCAACTGTGGGAAAAAATTCTAATTTTAGATATACTGAAACAGAGGAAAAG